CCTACGGAAGACGATTTCCTAGTTGATATTGAGGAATTTGTCACAAGGAATGTAGAAGAAGAAAATGTCACATGTGGTGCACATTTAATGGACAGTGGTTTATATGATGTGAGTGTTTTGAATTTCACTGAAATAAGTCAAGATCAAAATGCCATGCAAGCTAGCCAACACACGGAGGAAATTCAATCCATTCATGCAGAAAGTGGACAAGGCAACACGCACGTGTTACACACACCGGAAAGAGAAGGATATCAAGTGGAAAATCAAGCACAATCTCACATGCTTGAAGTCAATTCTGCTCAAGAAGGAGCAAGGTGTGTTCCCACAACCCGAGAAGAGCAAGACATTGATGGCACAACCTCAAAGGAACATTTGGAAAATCTGGAGAAAGTTGTACTAAGCCTTGTTGACCGAATGGAAAGCATGTTTCAAGGCATCTACACTCATGTGGATCATGTTGTCAATACTCAAGGTGGAAAATTTGAAACATCTTTTGATGAAAATCGGAGGAGTCAACAACATTTGATCGACACCCACCAAGCACTTGAGAGACAAGTTGAAGGATTGAATGCAAATGTCAAGGGGCAACTCAATGAGTTCTACATCCAACTCTCTCAAATCCTCAAGAATTCTGGAAAGGCAAATGAAGCAATTGCCGTGAGTCAAAGCTAAGGAATTCTCAATGTTGTTCATCAACATGAGAAGCAGATTAGTGATGTCCACACGGATCTCATCTCCGTCAACACCAAAGTAGGCTGCCTTCGGGGATCATATGAGAATATTTCCGAATCTATTTCATCTCTTCGAGAATCGGTTCATACACTCCTTGATTACGCCAAAAAGGGGGAAGAGAGATTCAGTCATTTGGAAGGCATGCTTGAAATGATGATGACTGCTATGGCCACCCGAAATGTTGGCACAAGCAGTAGTAGAGGTGGAGGAGGCAGATCAATTGATATAACCGTGCAGCTCTCTATTTGGAATCCACACCAAGAGATGGTAGAGTTGAAATGCCAAAGTTGGTGACTTTGAATGATCTACCAAAGGGTATGAAGAAGAGTGGTCCAAGTGATCAAAATTTGTGGGTTTCAAACGAGAATTTCAGAAGAATCCAAAGCTATGCTAGAGCTTTGATGATCATGGTTCTAAAGGACTATATCAAAGTCAATGATGCCGAGCTACAAAATGGAAGAAGCCTAGAAGAATGCATCATATGGTATGAAGAAGGTATACTGCTCGGAAACAACATCATCGAAGCATTCAACTATTATTCAGTTGGGCAGGTATGCAACAATTATGCCATTAGTGACAATTTCATTGATGTTCAAAATCATATAAATCATGTGCTTAAAGAGAAGAGAAACAAAGTCATTAAATGATTTGTATGATTGTCACATTTATTTTGTATGGTCCACGGGAACATGAATCCATGAACATTTTGGAACAAGTTGGAATGATTCGAAATATCTGATTATGATGCTATTAAGTTTTCCTTGTTATTTATTTATTTTATTTGTCTTGAAAGGTAACATTTTTAGCTTAGATTGTATCAAATCGCATAAATTGGAAAAATGCAAAAAATTCATTATTATTAAAATCCAAAAATGCGAATAGGAATTTTAGTTGCTAAAAATACCTTTCCTAGAGTCAAAATCAAATGTTAAACTCGTCTTGGCTATGTCTAAGTTAATAAAATCTTTTGAAAAATAATTGTTTTTAAAAGACAAGCCAAATGACTGAGTATAGGTTTTGGCGTCATAAAAAAGGGGGAAAATTGATAGGAATATTTTTTTGTAAGTTTTGATGAGCCAAATGTACTTTAGATCCCCTTAGTTTTTAGGTCTTTTAGTACAGGCATCATAAATCAGAATATCGAGTCAAAAGGAATCTACCATAGGAAGAACAAAATTAATTTGAGAAATTAATTTTGGTCCTACGAGTATTCATCCGAGAAAGAAGCATAAAGGAATGGCGTTGCAAAGAATGACTGGATGAGCCTAACGGCGAAATGGTAGAAGTCCTTACTCAAAATGATCACACTCGAGATCAATTCCCCCCAAGGACTTAACTTTTACAAGTCAAGTTTTCGGACAAGCACAATGCTACCAAAAGAGCACAATGTATTAAAAAGAGCACAGTGTGCTAAGGAGCACAATGCTACCAAAAGAGCACAATGTATTAAAAGGAGCACGATGCGGATAAGCATAATGTGTGCTAAGGAGCACGATGTTCTACAGGAGCACAATGTGAACAAGCACGATGTGTCCAAAAGAAGCACAATGTGACCAAATCAGAAAAGCACAATGCTCAAGTCAAGGAGCACGATGTTCAAGTCAAAGGAGCACAATGTGGCAAGGAAGCAAGATGATCAGAAATTGGATTAATTCGAAGGAATTTATTCCAAGTCTACCCACATGCCACAAGAATCCAAAATTGCCTGAAAGACATTTGATCAGAACGGAAAAAATATTTATGAAGACATGAATATAAAAACTTATCCTAGAAATAAATCTATCAGATGAATTTATTTCAAAGATACGTTGGATATTCAATGTGACAAGAAAAATAATATTAAAAAAAAAACAATTAGAAAATCAAGTTGTGATAAAATATTATTTGTCAGGCAAGTTGACAATCAAATCAAAATTGAAGACCTACTATTGTCAACAATATCAGGCTATGAAGATTCAAATTTCAAATATCAAATTATCCCACTCCAACGGATATATTTGATTGACTATAAAAAGCCATGAAGACTTGAAGACAAAGTGTGTGTGGAGCAGAGGTGAACAAGATAGACACGAGATAGAAGTGCAATACACACGAAAATTTAAAAGTGCAAGTGCTCAAATATTCTTAGAGACTTAGTCTGAATAGTCTCAAATCTAGTTGGAGAGAGATACAATTACCTTTGTATTTGTAATTGTAAAAAGAGTATAGCTGTGTGCAAAATACTCTAGTGAGTGTAGCTGTGTGCAAAACACTCGTAGTTGCTAAGTGTAGTTGTGTGCAAGACACTTAGTTGGCGTTGAGTATAGCTGTGTGCGAAATACTCGGAGTTGAGTGTAGCTGTGTGCGAGACACTCGGAGTTGGGTGTAGCTGTGTGCAAGACATCCGGAAGAAGTGCTTGTGTAGCGCTTATTCACTATTGTAACTGTGTGTAAAAAAAAATAGTGAATTTCTCCTAGACGCGAGAGGAGAAAAGTGGACTAGGAAGATTACGCCACTTACGAACCATTATAAATTGCCTCTCTCATTTACATACCGCACTTACATAATTTGCTCTACCTATCTATCTTATCCGACTAACCCGTTTACTATTCACAATCAATCTTAATCGTTCGGGTTTAGTGTGTCTTCACGTATGCATGTGACTCAAACTTCTCGAGCTTAAATATTGAATTATTCTAAGCAAGTTTGACGTGTTGCATGTAACATTCGTTACACGGTCGACGTGATACGATATTTATTTACAATCTTGAATATTGTTATTATATATTGAGTGGACCATCTCCTTTATATATTCAAGATCCCTCTGTCACTTTATTCATCTTACATGCGTATTTAATTCATTAATTGGGCATAACTCTTTACATACTACCTTTTCCGCTGTGCAGTTTAAACTTACTCTATTTACTTGCTACTTAGAGTTGAAGTTACCAAAGAGTTATTTAATTTGTGAAAAAGTTTAGAAAGTCTATTCACCCCCCCCCCCCCCCCCTTCTAGACTTTCTACCACCCTATCGGGACCAACATGAGATTATGTGTATTATCTTTTAAAAATAGTATGTATATTTTGTTATATAATTATGTACATTCATGTATAACATTATGTGTATTCTAGTATAATATTATGTACATTCTTGAACAGCGGGTTTTTTTTAAAGAAAAAACTACTGCCATTCACTGGGGCGGGAAATTTCAAAAAAAAAAAAATAATTAAAACGACGTCGTTTTGCATCTGGGCGCATAGTGCAACGCGCGCCGTGGTGTAGGATATAAATTGCCCATTGTGTACTAGTCTATTGGGCAATCGTTATATCCTACACCACGGCGCACATAGCACTGTGCGCCGCGCGCCTCCCAAAACGACGTTGTTTTGGGGTACTGTTGGGAGGCGCGGTAGGAAGTTGCTGAGATTATGTGTATTTGTTCACAACGTTATGTGTATTTGTTCACAACGTTATGTGTATTGGTTCATACAGTTATGTGTATTTTTTATACAATTATGTACATTCTTTTTATACAATTATGTACATCCGAATCAGAAAATTTGTGTGTATTATGTTAAGAGTTGATGTGTATTATGTTAAAAGTTTATGTTTATTATGTATTATGTTAGATGATGTGTATTATCTTTTAAAAAGAGTATGTATATTTTGTTATATAATTATGTACATTCATGTATAACATTATGTGTATTCTAGTATAACATTATGTACATTCTTGAACAGCGAGTTTTTTTTTTTAAAGAAAAAACTACTGCCATTCACTGAGGCGGGAAATTTCGAAAAAAAAAATAATTAAAACGACGTCGTTTTGCATCTGGGCGCATAGTGCAACGCGCGCCGTGGTGTAGGATATAAATTGCCTGGCAAATTATTGTATGGACCATGGTCCACACAATGTTATGTGGACCATAAGAAAAAGTACATTTTTAATATACTAAATGTACATTATTTTTGTAGTGAATGTACATTATATAATATAATGTACACTCAGAACAAAAATAATGTACATCCTCTGAATACAATGTACATTATTTTTGTACTGAATATACATTATGTTTGTACTGAATGTACATTATTTTACAGTAGACAAAATATGGTCCACACAACTTATGTGGACCATGGTCCATACAATAATGATTGAAATTGCCTCTATTGGGGCAACTTTGGTGGGTTTCGTGTAACGGGCTGAGTATATAACCTAACACCAACAAGCATAAAATTAGTCGACTTCGGTGGCCCGTAAGCCCGTTGAAGAAAACGCGCACTCCAAAACCCTAGTCCACTTGCAACGCTCATATAAAACATCGTGAAAACATTTTAAGAACGAGATCTACTGCGAACTTCAGAAGCCAGGGTTTTTCGCCTCCGCTGCGCAAATGGTACGGTACTATTTCTCCTTCGTCTCTCCGCCCTATGGATCTGCGCTAATTGATAACTATGGTGCGTTGGTGTGTAGTTGAATTGGTGTGGATTTTTGTGTACTTTGACAGGGAAAAGGTACCGGAAGTTTTGGTAAGCGGAGGAACAAGACACATACACTATGTGTGAGATGCGGCCGCCGCAGCTTCCATATCCAGAAGAGCCGGTGTTCCGCTTGTGCCTATCCTGCTGCACGCATTAGAAAATGTACGCCACTTCTCTCGTTGTCACTCTAATTCTTGTACTTGTGTATTCTGGTGTTTTCTATGTTTGACTAATTCATCTGTGTTCATCAATTTGCTATTGCTATTTCTGTTTCTTTTTTTCTTTTTGTTTTCCTTAGTTTTGTTCTTCATCGAGTTAGTCACTTGAAGTTGAGTAAAGCATTTTGTAGCTTGCAATTTTGGAATTGATTGTGTTTATGTGTAAATGCAGTTACTTTTTTTGGGGTATCTTTTGATATTTATTCCATTGTGTTGTATTCTGATTAGAAAGGTTATTTTTAGTCTAAATTCATAATAATGTAGGAAAAATGTATCATCGATGCAATGTGGTTTATGCCTTTTTTTTGTTTGGTCTCATTGGCATTTTGTCATATGCAAACTTTGGGTAAAAGTGACCGAACCTAAGAATTTTTTGGTTAACTGTTTTTTAACCAACAGAAATATGGTTAAAGGTTTTATAGAATTTCAGTTTGGTTAGTTCAGTGTTATACTGTTAACTGAAATTCTATATATATACTTACATTTTTTAAATTTGGGCTTTTATATTTGTAGGGTTTTTGTTAATTCGGTAATAACATTTACAAATTTTGGTTAATTCAATTTGGTTAAGATGGATTGGTTTTCTTATGCACACCCGAGGACATAGCAAGTCTTTCTTTTCTTTTCTTTCTTTTTTTATTTATTGCTGGGGCTAATTATGGATAGTTGGATACACATGCAGTTCCATATGTGGGGCATTTTGAATTAGTTTATGTAAGCATGCTGTGTTTCCATACCTTTTCATCTGTCTTAATGTGAGACTCAATGAGAAAAATTTATGGTTAGCTTCCTATATTTTAAGGGAAAGTACTAGTGTTCATTTCCTAACAGAGTTGACAGAAATGATCTCAGTTTATATGTGTTACTATCCTGCCTTTTGTTATTATTCATTAACAGAGTATGTTGAACAATGATGATGAGTTATACAGACCTGTAATGATTTGCAAGCATGATTGCAATCTATTTTGAACATCTAAGGGACTGAGTTGTTCATACATACTCTGGCAGATCACAGATTTATATTTTATCAGTTCCTTTTCTTCTTGCTTTAGCTCTTGTCTAGTCTGTATAACATTGTTTTCATGCTCAGCTTCAACATAGAATGTGTTGGTTATAAATGTTCTTTTGGTTACTCTTTTTCTATTTTCCAGGTTTACTGCTTTATATTTTGGAATTGTACATTGTTTGGGCTGGGGCTCTAATTTTTTCTCAACTTTTTTTTTTTTTGGTTGCATTATAGATAATTGGAGTGTCAAGGCAATTAGGAGAAAGACTACTGGAACTGGCCGCATGAGGTATCTTCGCAATGTTCCTCGTAGATTCAAGACCAACTTCAGAGAAGGTAAAACGCTTAATATACTATTGCTATTTGCAACCCACACATTGTAAATTTCATTTATAGGCAACCATATCTGGTTCATCTTATCAATTTGTTTATTTATTATGTTTGGTGGTATAGGTACTGAGGCAACTCCAAGGAAGAAGGGAGCAGCAGCAGCCTCTTAAATTTCATTTCCTCAGTTTTAGCAGTGTTTTTATTCTTCCAAGAGTTTCCCAAATTTTATTACAAAACATGTTTGGTTTTTGCTTGTTAGAGGACCAGTTGTTGTCAATGTGGATTATTTTGTTTTCTGACAAGCAGATTCAGATTCTACCCTATATCTTCTTTGAAAGCTAGTTGTAACTTAATTTTGTATTGCTTGATATTATTAAACTCAGAAGTCAGACCCCCTTCATCAAATTAAAATGCTTAAGAGGTTTCTCATATTCAATTGGCCTTAAAAATTAGAGTTTAAAAATGCAATTAATAAAGCAATATTTGCTTTTTGTGATGCAGAAAATTGAATGGACTGAGTGGGCGAATTTGTTTTGAGTGTTCTAATTTTGGTATTTTTTCCTAGTATTTTATGTTTTTAGCTTGCGAGTTAGATAATAATAATATAAAGTTAGAGCCGTTCCTATTGAGAAATAGGCTTGACTTTTTATAATAATGTAGTATAAGATGATTATTGACTTTTTATTTTTATTGAATTTTAAGTGTATAAGATGATTAATGTAGTACATTTTTAATGCATAATAGAAAAATAAAGTGCGTTGAACAAATTAAAATGTCTGGTTTTCAAGTAATTTAAATAGCAGACACGCCATGATTGTTTTTTGAGAAAATGACATTTTTTCTACTTGAGTTATATGCTTATATCATTTTTTTCTATTCATGCATCCACATTTGTCCCCTTCAATTATTATATAAGTGACAATTTTTTTCCCTGATATATTAAATAGACATCCTTACCTTTAAAATAAATATTTTATTTATTTCTCTTCTTCAACAATGTATTCTTCCAAAAGGCTGAATCCCAACCCTAAGGGTCCCCCACACCCCACCCGACAGAGCATTTGGGAAGTTGTAAATCATGGTAACTCAACTGAACATGAACCACAGAGGCTAGACCGTGCTCACTAAACCGGATGACCACAGTTCGATTTGAACTAAATCGGACACTAGCAATCAAATCAAATTTTTTTTGTTATGATTCAGAACCATAACTCAATATTTGGGTTTCCGTTTATTAAAATCGTGAACTAAAAAAGATCGATCTTGAACCGTGAACCAGAGGTTCAAATCGGAACAACTATTAGCATTAGCTTAAAATTATTAGAATTATAATATTTGCAAATAGCTGTATGTTCTTTTTGCATTTATTCTGATTCTCACATATAAGTATATATAACCGCGATTTGATTTTGATTTTGAACTGTCAATTCACGGTTTCAGATCCAATTTGAACAGCTCGTTCAAATTTTCTTTTAAAATTTTCGTTTTTTATCTTAAAATATTCTAAATTCAACAATTAATGTATTTATTTTTTCAATTCAGAACATGAACTGGCAGTTTCGGTTCGCAATTTTAATAAATTCTAAATTTCGGGTTCCGGTTCTAAATTGTCATCATAACCTCTCTGTTTGGTTGCTATAGTGTCTATTCGGTTTGAACCAAATCGTGGTTTTAATTCGTTGGAGAAGAAAAATAAATGAAATATTTATTTTAGGGTAAATATGTCATTTAACATATGCGGAAAACTGTCACTTAAATAATTCAAGGAGAAAAAGTGCTATAAGTATATAATACAGGGGGGAAAAGTGAATTTTTTTTTTCGTATTACGGAGTATAAATTATCACTAGTCTCACTTGCGTATGTGTCAACATTTCGAAAACAATTTCAAATGCATTTGAGACATACGTTTCTGACGCCAAACACATGTCTTAAAGTACTTTTTCTCACTTTTGTCCAATTTTTAAAATCGTTATATTATTGTCTATGCACAACAAAAACGTCTTATTTCAGTCTTTTTTTCCTAACAAATTAAGTGTTTTTTTTGTTTGTTTGTTTGTATTACGGAGCAAACATAACTAATAGTTCCGTCATTAAAATGTCATATCATCCAGGTGACCAAATATATAATTAATTGCAACAAGAAGTTATTTTGGTATAAGTGCAAAGTTTATCACTTTGATTCCGTGACTTTTGGATCATTTTCATATTTAGGGGGGTGTATTCAATCATGACTTTCATAGAGTTTTAAAGATTTTTATGAACTTTAAAAGTTTGGAGGTATTCAATTCAAACTTTTAGAGAGTCTTTAAAAGTCGGGCGGTATTCAATCAAGATTTTTAAAGAGTCTTTAAAAGTCGTGTGGTATTCGATTAAGACTTTTAAAGAGTCTTTAAAAGTCATGTGGTATTCAAAAAGTTATGAACTTTTGTAGACTTTTTAATTTTAAGACTTTTGAAGACTTTTGTAGACTTTTCCTTCTCAAATATAAATAGTTGAAATCCAACCATCAACCCCAAGATTTCAATTTTTCTTTCTAACAACTTTGAATGTTTTCTCTCTCTCTATTTAAACTCTATTTTTTCTCCCTATTTAAACTCTATAAACCTATCTAAATTCAATAAAATTATTTTTTTCTTCATTATCCTATATATTCTTCATTATCAAGTCTTTTATTATAATTTTATTGTTCAATACTGTTATGAATTTCTAATGAAATAGTTTTTTTTTTTGTTGATGTTTATTAATAATATATATAAGCAATTAGCATATAAGTCTCAGCATATTATGAATAAAAATAATAATGTTGAGAATATTGATGTGGGTGAAGAACTATATAATAAGAAGAATTTTATGATATATTATAAATGTTTTGTAAGAAAATTGTAAATGATAAGAATTAAAATCATTGAAAGTTTGTAAGGGTGTATTCAATTTAGAATTTCAATGACTTTTGTAGACTTTTTAAAATAAAAAAGTTGATAAAAATCTATGAATGTTTTTTATATAGACTTTTATAGAGTCTTATAAAGTTTTAAAAAGTTTTGGACGACTCTATGAAAGTCCATCAAAGTTTATTAAAATCTATCATTTTAAAAGTCGTTAAAAGTCTACAAAAGTCATGATTGAATACACCCCCCTTAGTCATCCATTATTAACTTTTTCATATTTGTTTATTTTTAAAACATTGTCACATTTAGTTACTTTGGTCTAATTTTTAATCACCAACAATCAAATTGCAATTAATTCCTTTCGGAAAAAAAGTTGCAATCAATTAATTTATCTTGAATGACAAAATTATCGTTTTCCATAATAATTTTTTCTTGGATTTTTTTTTTATTCAACCGCCTTTCATCGTTTTTCCTTAACCCCATTCTTCTTAAAACCCCTATGAAAGGAAGCTCTAGCAAGAATACTTAGGTCACTTAGGTGTATTCTATCTTGATTTTCATACTCTTAGAGACTATGAACTTTAGAAGTTTGAAAGTATTTAATTCGAAAGTCCTACAAAGTCAAGAAGTATTCGATTGAGATTTTTAAAGAGTCTTTAAAAGTTTAAGTGGTATTTGATTAAGACTTTTAAAGAGTCTTTAAAAGTCCATTGGTATTCAAAAAGTTACAAACTTTTATAAACTCTTTTATATTAGGACTTTGTAGACTTTTTCTTTTCAAATATAAATAGTTAAAATCCATACATCAATCCCCATTTCTAAACCTTTTTTTTTATCCGAATATTTTTTTTTCTATTTAAACTCTACAAACCTTATACCTAAATTCAACATATTATTTTTTCTTCATCCCTAAACATTACATCTTTGTGAGTAATATTAGTGTTATTAATATGTTTATATTTATAGACTATAGTTATTTGTATGTGGCTAGAATAAGTCTTCTGTTAATAACCTGTTAGATAGGAACAGTTAGAGATAGCTTCAGATATACTCTCCTGTAATCCTATCTTTTCTGATTGAATTGAAATTTGAATTCTCATCTGGTATCAGCCTAAACACGATCCTCCACTGCAAAACACACAACCCCCTCCTTACCCCACCATGTCGTCGCACTCCTCCGAGAGAACCCCATCCGCCACTGCCGGCAGCTCATCTCCGGCGACCGGAAATCCGTTGTCCGGAGCCCACCATTTCATCTCAATGAAATTGACCTCAAGAAATTTTGTGTTTTGGAGAACCCAGCTTCTCCCGTTTCTCAGAGGTCAGGATCTCATCGGTTATGTGGACGGCACCACACCATGCCCACCGGCGTTTCTGTCCGCAACCACTTTCGACGAATCGGGATCCGGCGCGACCACTGCTCCGTCAACCCCCAACACGGCGCACAAGGCCTGGGTTCTCCAGGACCAGTCGATTTTGAGCCTTCTCATATCCTCGATGTCAGATGAAGTTCTGCATCTCGCGGTTGGCCGGGATACTGCCGCAGACGTATGGAGATCCATTTGCACCGCCCTCGGTTCCAACACGCAGGCACGATGTTTAAGCCTGCTTGGTCAGTTTCAGGCGCTCCGGCAAGGGGCGTCTACGCCCGGTGACTACCTCGGAAAAGCGGAGCTGTTGGTGGAAGCGCTTGCACAGGCCAGTCAGCCGCTCTCCATGGCCGAGCAAAATCTGTACGTGATACGTGGCTTGCGTCCGGAGTACAGGGCATATGCGGCTTCGCTGACGGCACATGCTCCGGTCTCTCTTCCGCACCTCGCGGATCATCTGCAAGCAGCAGATTTTATTCTTGCTGACGATTTTGCAGATGGCGCTGGAAACAGTTCGCACTCGGCCTTCTATGCTGGCCAAGGCAGTGGGAGCGGAGGACGCCACACCGGCGGTCACGGCAACGCCGATGGCGGCCGGCAGAACAACTGGCGAGGTGGCCATGGTAGCCGGAATCAGCGGGGTGGCGGCCGGAATCAACGTGGTGGTGGTCCCCGATGCCAAAATTTGTAGAGCGCAGGGGCACACAGCGGTTTACTGCTACAAACGGTACACAACACAACCACCCGCGCAGGCACATGTCGCCGTTTCGGGCGAGACTCCGGTCACTACCGTACCATCGGCCGAGGCGTGGTACCCTGACACTGGGGCCACGGCTCACGCGACTCGGAAGCTGGGATGTTAACATCATCGGAGGAATATACCAGTCCGGACACGTTGAGAGTGGGAAATGGTACAGGCTTAGTAATTCCGCGGGTTGGCCATGCACCGATCCCCTCTGTGTCAAAACGCCTGTTTCTGTCTAATGTGTTACATGTCCCAAAATTAACTGTTCCCCTTTTATCTGTACAAAAATTTGCTAAAGAAAATTCTGTGTTTTTTGAATTTCATGACAGTTGTTTCGTTGGGAAGGATTCCAAAACCAAGGCGGTGCTTCTTAAAGGCCCGA